GTTTGTGCATTTTCTCTACTCTGTGCCTAACACTTACACCAAAAATGGATAAAAATGGTGACCAAGTCCTCTACCCAGCCAAGAGAGTCAACACCTTCTCTTCACAAGACGACTGGACAATGGACGTGCAAGGCCACCCTCAGGTAAACATGAACAGTTGAACAAACCTAAACCTTTCTTGGGAATTGTACATCTTCTGATAATACTGCTCCTGGCTGGTGATGTTGAAATAAATCCTGGACCTTCAATGAAGGTGCTAAACCTTCACAGCTAATTGGGCTACAGCCACAGTTAGCATGGCTACAACTACAGCTAGCAGGGCTACATCCACAGCTAGCATGGCTACAACTACAGCCAGCAGGGCTGCAGCCACAGCTAGCAGGGCTACAACCACAGTTAGCATGGCTACAACTACAGCTAGCAGGGCTACATCCACAGCTAGCATGGCTACAACTACAGCTAGCAGGGCTGCAGCCACAGCTAGCAGGGCTACAACCACAGTTAGCATGGCTACAACTACAGCTAGCAGGGCTACATCCACAGCTAGCATGGCTACAACTACAGCTAGCAGGGCTGCAACCACAGCTAGCAGGGCTACATCCACAGTTAGCATAACTACAACTACAGCTAGCAGGGCTACATCCACAGCTAGCATGGCTACAACTACAGCTAGCAGGGCTGCATCCACAGCTAGCAGGGCTACAACCACAGCTAGCAGGGCTACAACCACAACTGGCAGGGCTGCAACCACAGCTAGCAGATTCACGCCACCAGCAGTGCAAGGATATCAAACTGAGGAACCCAGTAATGAAACAGCATCGCGCTACAAAATTATTTCAAACACTCTATCAAGCTAAAACAGTCTGGGATCCAAAGTGCAAGCCCGTGGCTTATTTGGGGGACACTTAAACATCAGGAGCATGACTCAAAAACGGGAACAGCTACAACATATATTAGGCAATTCTAATGTTGACTTTTTAGGACTGACAGAAACATGGCTCACTCGCTCCTCTCCAGAAGCTGTAATAAAAATACCTGGATACAACACCTTCAGAAGAGACAGGGGTAAGGGCAGGGGTGGGGGGGTTCTCTTATACATTAAAAACACCTTAAAATGTGAGCAAATTGAATGGCCTAGTGAAGTTGGACTTGAATGTATGTGTGTGACTAGTTCTCTTTCATCTGAAATGTCATTTATTGTAATTTGTATTTACTGGAAGCCATCTGCAAAGATAGATTTTTATGATCAACTGGAACTTCTTCTGGACTATTGTAACTTAGACAAAGAGTTGATTATCATGGGTGACTTGAATATTAACTGGGATGATAAGAAGGATAGAACAAATCTCAAGCAAATTACTGGCCAGTTTAATCTTAAACAAATAATAGATAAACCCACCAGAATAACTCCTCGTTCCTCAACCAGAATAGAATTATTATTTACAAATCATCTTGAAAGAATTAAAAAAAAACTACAATCTACTAACAGGAATCTCAGATCATAATATAATTTTGTTCTCACGAAAACTCTCAAAAACAAGATTTCCCAACTCATACACAACTAGAAGTTGTCATGAGTTCATTCCACAAAACCAAATTCCAAGTCTGGACGCAGCTTTCAAAGAGAGTGACTGGAGTGAAACTCTCATGAGTGAAAATATAGAAAATGGTTGTGATGTATATTTGGTTTAAAACTAAATTAAATAATGTCACCATTTCTGAGAAAGGGAAAACAAAAAGGTTACCTGCCTAGGGACAACAGATGGAAACTAGCACTTCTGCTATAACTTTTACATTTTTACAGCTGTAATTGTTACAGCTGTTCATTAATATGCACTGTCCCTAACAAATAAATTAAAAAAATATATATTCCTTAAAGATTCAAACTGAGAAAACTTGTGTTTTCCGTGTAAGTCTTTAAAGTTATGACATTTTCACAGAAAATAACATCTTAATGATACTTTATTGTTAGTAGTAATTAAATAAATACTCATTGGAGACAGCAGCAAAATGCATACATGACATGCACACAAACTTGATGCCATCCCTGCATGCAATAAAAGAAAAAGAATCACAGGTATTTACATGATTAAGCAGTTAAAAGGTCAAATGTGATTTAGTTGGACTTTAAATACTCTTAAAATGTGACAATTGATTCTGCACTGTGACTTCTTAAGACATGAAATGTTGAATATGTTTTTTAAATTTTGTTAATAATAGTAATTCTGAAGGTACAGAAGTGTCCACTAGAGTGGACATCATGCAACTCTATAATGCAAAACATTTTTATTTATTTATCTTGTAGTGCATAAACAACGATCAGAATTCTTCCCCTTTCAAAATCACATTTCCAGTTTTCACATGTCAATTGGGGTGGAGAGATCCATTTAAATTTAAGTTTTGAATATAATAATATAAAGTCTTTGAGTTTTTGAGTGTTCCTGTTGAAAAAAGGAAAAACATGTTTGATGAGCTAAAACTGATTGATGAGCTCAGTTTTTTCCTAAAGGATGCCTGAACAGCATTTAATGGGAGAAAATCAATTATGAAGAGTAACCAAAACCATCACAACATCAGTTAGTTTCATGTTTCTGTTTATGATGCTATAAACAGAAACTCCTCAATTCAAGTGGGTATAAGACTTTATTCCATTCTTTATGCTTAGTGGAAAATGTCCTGAACTGTAAATATGTAAAGAAATCAGTGTTAGGAAGTGTGAATTCCTATTTAACTGTTCAAATTTTAGACTTCTGTCCCTGTGGAGTTGCTGTAGCTTAGTGAGTTCATATTCTGATCATTTCCTAAATCCTGCATCTGTATGGAAGGGAGTAAAACGCTTTATAAATTCAATGTAAGTTAGTTCCGAGATTGCAAACCAAAAGATGCTTTTACTTTCGTCCACATATTTGGTGTGACTCTGGTCCATTTAACCATTTGAATGTCCCCTAATGGGACGTCTATGAAAGCTAAGGCCTGTTGGGGAGTAACAAAAACTTTTTTCAATGCTGAGCCAGAGTGTGTCTGACGGCCAAATTCCACCAGCTTCCACTGTCTCAGCTCGGCCAGTCCGGAGCAATCCGTAGCAGTTACACAAGGCTTCTATTTTTGCCAGATGCCGGAGCACGGTGCATCAATTAACCACAGAAAAGACTGGGAGGGGAAGTCATTTTCGATGGTGAAGACATGTTTGAAACAGTTGGGACAGTGGCAACAAAATAGTATACAAGTTGTAAAATGCTTTAAATAACAGCTGATGGAACATCTTACAGTTAATAAGGTTAACAGGAAACAGGCGAGTAACATTTCTAGGTATGAAAAGAGCACTGCAGAGTGGCTTGTCTTTGTGAAGTCAAGATGCGGTTAATGTTTTCTTGTCCACTGACATCCACATATTAAATCCCTTGCAATCCTGTAACTTTTTTTCTTGTGTAGAGATCATGGCAGTATATTTGAAAAATCTTCCATCCTCTTTTAGCTTAAATTAGTCCATTTGTTTGATACATCGTTCTAACCATCCTTCTTTTTTTCGACCCCTTGTCAGATTAATTTTTCATCTTCCTCAAGAAAGTGTTGGGGTTGTATCAAGTCAACTTTGGTTATATTCTTTAATAATTATATAGAATTATTAATAATTAAATAACAATATCATTAAACTATGTTTAATCTAGTTTGGGGCACCACCCTGTAATCAGGGAAATATAACCAAAATATCACTCAGATCAGTCTCAAATTAGTTACTTAATTACTAATATTATTAATAATTAATAACTATATTTAATAAATTGAAGGCGTGAAATCCGTACACAAAGCCCTCGCACCCAGCTTATATCACAATGTAAATACACCAGTAATCACAAACAACTGCTCTCTTAAAATTATAACAGAATTTATTTAAACAAAGCAACATCAATCCAAAATCGATTAACTTAATCAAAAAAAGAACTATTATAAATTAATCTAAGCAAACAAACATTATCATGCAAGGCTTGTGGAAGAAGTGTAAAAGTGTAGTTGTGCATGTGCGTGTGTGAGAGAGAGAGTTAGAGTGAGAATGAGAAAAAGCCATGTGGTGATGTCACATGGGGATAAAATGGTGGACAAAGAACAAAGGGAGCCGTGTGGCTCGGCCTTCTTGAACTCTCTGAGATAAGTTCAGTAACTATAACTTACACACCAGAAAGCCAGTGGCCGGACTTTGATTCAGCGGCGGGTACACTGGTCGTTCTGATGGGAAGCTAGCACAGCGGTGAATAAAACACACAGTTAGGCGAACACAGCAGTTCAGCAACAATAAAAGAAATGTAGCAGCTAACAACAGATAACAGGACAATTATCAGTTGTTACCATAACAAACACTTAAACTATTTCTGCCCCAACAAAAGCCTCTTACACTGGGATCACTTTCCTGGTGATTGTTGCAAGGTTGATCTTCAATGGTAAATGGACTTGAGCTTATATAGCACTTTTCTAGTCTTCCGACTACACTACACTTTTACACCGCCTGTCACACCCACCCATTCATACCCTTTCACACACTGATGGTAGTGATCGCTATGTAGTATCATCAGAAGTAACTAATCCCATTCATACACCGCCGCTGAAGCAGAAGGAGCAATTCAGGGTTAAGTGTCTTGCCCAAGGACACATCAGACATGTTGCTCAACCCTCGACCTTCCGGTTGAGAGGCGACGACTCTACCAACTGAGCCACAGCTGCCCTGGCTATTCTGTTCAACAGATTTGGGCAGCTTTTCCGTGGCAGATGAAGAGGGAAATGGCATGGCCTGGGTGAATGTTGTGAGGCAGGTGGTGGGCCAGAGTCATCTCCCAAGCGTCCACTAGTCGAACATTAAATCCTTTGAACACAGCTCTTAGCACCTTGTCCAGCTGTAGTGTGTACCAGTCACTGTAGTTTAACGATTCAGAAGGTGTTAAACCTCTGAGGTTTGCAGTCCTGATGACCACAAGCGTGTCTGGAGCCCTGTTCAACAGACGAATCACCGCCCTGCGGATGCTCTAAAGTCGTCTGATGTAGAGCTCAATTGGGAAAGGGCTGAAGTGGGCCCAGATACTAAAAACTACAACTGTGTTGGTGCCACCTACCAACCCGTCAATTTCATTTGCAATGTAACGCAGCTCACTGGTTGGGACGTAGATAAAACTAAGAGGAGGACCATGGACACGGTATGTTACCAAGATGTTTTTTGCATTGTCCCATATCATGTAAGGTCCAGTTTGCTTCGGACTATTCTGGTTAATCTCCTTAGCATCTGAAAGTATGACAGAAGGAACAAGTTTAGCTGTTATATAAATAATAAACTTTCACCTGAAATTACTGTGAATCAACTACCTGGAAGTGAAGCATCAAAGTACTCAAACCACTGCCTTAAGGTGGAGTCTCCATACATGTGGACCACCTTTCCTTTCAGACACTGACTGATGGCAGAGGAGTTGTTGAATTGGTGGACTTTGGTGCCACCTAGTGATCGCCACACACCCTGGTAGTAATACCCAGAGAGTCCAGACTTCCCATTGCCTTGATCGACCTCAGGTTGCCCTAAAACATATTGATCAAGCTTTTGGTTATTAAAGTCATTGTTTTATCATGTATTGTCAACAGATCCCATAAAAAGACCAAAACATGGTCTCTCCTTTACCTTGCTTATTTCACTTGAGACAACATCATAATATAACACAAAAAAGTATTCATTCAAATTTTTACCCAAGACTCAGTTTTAGCTTTTTTCCAGTGCAGATAAGTGTATTTATTGGATTTGTCTGAGCAGCAGAAAAATATGCATTAAAGTGCTCAGCAGGACAGTGTATGTCTCGAATGCACATGTTTATTGTGGTTAAGGTAAATGTTACCAAAGAAAATGTTGATTATTGAAAGCTAAATATTTACAGATGTTAATAAGTTTAGTATTTTTAAAAGGGACATTTTATGACAAATCCACTTGTACAGTGTTTTTGAACATATATTTGGGTAACCTGAGAGTCTACTGACCCACAAAATATGAAATAAATCCATCCCGTCCTTTGTTTGTAGTCTGCATAAGTCTTACAAGACAGAGAAAAATGCTCCGTTTCAAATTTTCTCAGCTTGTGATGTCAAAAGCTGGATTCTGGTAAAAAAAAAAGAATACCCTCCCTACCCCTGATATCTCCACCCATGGACTCCATCCCCAGCCTAGAACAAAACTTTTGCACAGGTCTGCCATTTTAAGTCTTTCTACAGAGGATTGATGTCTACCAGGAAAACTCAAGGCGGCTCATTGCATTTAAAGAGACACACACACCAAACCGGAGCGTTCTGAGAGAGCTGGTTTATACAGGGTCACAAACCTCCTCTGGTGCTTGATTCATGTTATATTTTGACCGAAGCACAGCACAGATGTTTCATTTAGACCACAGGGGACTGTTTGAAAAGGGCTATGATATGTCCTCTTTAATAGTACTTAAAATAAATCTTGTTTTGAGCGTAAATGAAATAAATGCTTGCAGCTCTATCTCAGTTTTGTAGATAGAATCTGGTTAGTTTATTTATTTTTTCTTTATATGGGATATCTTTTCTACAAGGCAAAGAGATAAACAGCTATTGTCACTTCATTCCGCCAATGCTCTGGCTGGAATACAAAGAGGAAGGTTTTATTTATTTTTACCAAACCATTTTTCTTTTCAAGTTCACATGGATATCTTTAAAATATCTCTCTGGTGAAAGTCGAAAAGTTGTGCTTTACCTTTCATTGGAGGCAGCACCATGACATTGGCCGGTCCTGAAGAGTGAATGAAGACTTTCAGGTTGACTTTGCTGGGGGGAAGAAACTCCCATTATTAAGAATCTTCTAAACACACTACATTATGTAAATGTCAAACGTGATTTAACAAATGGTAACACTTTAGTTTTATTAAATTACTCTGCCTCCATATTTGGACTGAAAATATACACTTCATAGTTTTGTTGATGAGTGTCAACTTTAATTGTTCAGATTAAGTATTTTGGTAGGTATTATCTTACACTATAAACATCTTAAGATTTCATCTTTGCCACCTGTAGTTACAAACACAACATTTTCCAGCAGGTGACACATACTATATACTTACAGTCATTACAAAACTAGATGCAACTTTTCTACTGCTGTGCTCCCTCACCTTTGGAAAAGCTTCTCCTCTTTGTCCTTGAGTCTTACATTGAATCCGTCTCTCATGTGGTTAATCCTATCATCACAGCTCAGCTTCTTTGGCTTGTAGCAGAACCAAGGCTCGCCTGTACGGAGGTCAGTGTAGTTGCACTGTGGCTGGTTGGTTTGACGTAGGCAAACATTACAGGAGGTAGTTTCAGAGCTTGAACCTGAGCGGAAGAGGCTTTTAAAGAGAACCCTTTCAGGATGTTCTCTATTCAGCCTGTGCAGAACTGTGACAGCCTCGCTTGAGTGGACAAGCGTCACCTGATAAAACAAAACACAAGAGCTTTAAAGGTATAGCATACACCCTTTGCATGCTATTTTTTATGTGTATAATTTGATTGTTAAAACAATGTTTTCAAGATAATTAATTTCTATTTTTGGTGTCAGCTGACTGAAGTTAATAATTTATTTAATGTAAACGATAAGATTGAAGGAAATGGTAAACTCTCTACTAGCTGGAAAGTTGAACTTAAAGTCATATTTTTTCACCTGTCTCGCCTTTAGTAGATAGGACAGATGACAACAGATAGGAAATGTTGGGAGGATGTAGAGGGGGATGACATTCGGCAATGAGCCAAGGTCACATTCCCCCCCAGGCTGCTACAAAGAGGACCATCTCCTCTGTAAAGGGGGCATGTGTATAACTGCTCGGCTATCAGGAGCCCGGTATAACTTTTTTTTCTTACCACTGTAGGCAGCCATCTTCTCAAACAATAGATTTGCCTGTTTTCTCTCAAACAATTCATAATCTCTTAGTATCAATTTCAACTTATTAGTACTTTTAATGCAGTTCTGAAAGCGTCTTGTACTTTAAATCAATATCCTGAGTGTGTGCATAAATAAATCACCCTGACGTATTGCCAGTCAGTGTTTCGCTTTACTATGGTAGTATTTTCTCTTCTTTGTCACCATGTCCACGTCCGTCATGTTTGCCTGTTTAAAATTGCGTCCAATCACTGAATTCCTTTCCATTCCTAAACACCTAATTCCTACACCCTGACATTGACTTGGGGAACCCCCCCCCCCCCCCCAAAAAAAAAACCCATTAAAATACAGGCATACGACAGGGTCTCTGCAGGCACAGTCACCACCACACATGTATGCAGGCTCATAAGTGATGAATAGGTGGCAAGTATATATTTATTTTTTAGAAAAAAGCTAGACTATCTTTGAGGAGTTAATACATGTAACTCTTATGGTGAATACATTCCCTCAATGTAAAGTAGTCCAGAAATGGGGAATACCATTTTGTACAAAACTGGTAAAGATGGGCATTTTAACACAGGAATCAATGGGGATTAAGTCATTAGAGTGTGTGACCACACACACACACACACACACACACACACACACACACACACACACACATTCTCACTTATGTCCACTTTGGGGTCGCACATTTCAACACCCCCCCCTTAGAGGACACCACTTTCTGAATGGTTTACAGAGATGCTGGTAAGTGGAATATATTACTGGGAGTCGCCAGATTATGAAAATCACTTGAGATTTTAGTTTTAAACAACTTTTGTCCATACAGAATTTTTACCTTGAGATTGGGGACAAATAATTTTAATGTCCCATTTGGGGTCTTCAGCTATACACAAATACACAGACTGATAAAAGTCACCTTTGGGTGCCTCACTTTCCTTTGGGGACAAGACTCATTAAATGTCATTATCTGCATGCACATTCAGCTATGTTCAGTAGGGAGAGCATGTTGTAATGAAATATGAAATTCAATCTTTGATCGAGTAACACTGGTCTCAAGTAGCTTCTGAGATATCTAAAGAAAACGCATTAAACTCGAAGTAAACCCCAAATTACCTCATACTGAAGGAAGAAATAGTAATTAAACCTATAATGCTGTTTTTTTCTGGTGACTGGGACAAAGTGCCAGTGGTTAAAGTTAGAGTTATCCTCCTCCTCTTCTGACTGCGCTGGCTTCCTCAATCTACAACAACAAATTGAAGAACAGGAAGGAAGGATTTCCCCACTACCAAATTAACCAAGATGAACAGCTTACTGACACGCTGTTTGAATCATCAACCTATATTCCTGCTATCAAAACATCAGAATCAGAAGCACCAGTCAAATTTGCAGATTTGGAGACTGCAACCCATGCTACAGACCTGGTTGACCCCTGACTTGACTCAAGCACAAATGTACTGGAGGTATCCCCACCGGCACTCGCTACAGACCTAGCTGACACCCTCTCCTGGGTCTCACTGGGGACTCCCCACTGGTGCTCACCACAGATCTCTGCAAAGCAAAGGTGCTAGGCTGAAAGTCTCCACTCCTGGTCAGCTGTGGTCTGATGTTGTCTGTCGGGTAAAAAACAAGCAAAAGTGCAAATCTGAAGACACTCCCCCAATGCTTAGTGAACCAGATGTAATGACTGCTAATGGTAATGACAGCACTGCCATGTAAGGGATGCAACGTGTTAGTACTAGCTTCAGAGCTAATGCCAAAACCTGCATAATGTCCATTTCTCCTGCCTACTACAACACCACTATTGAGCTACCCTGCTGAGTTTACCTGAAGAATCTGAACCTACAGAGTAGGTATACATTCGCCTTGAGAGACTGACAACTTTGTCTAGCTCACTGTGCTGCAGCCTACATTTCACCTTGTTGAGGCCCGCTGAGCTCAACTCTCAACATACGTCAGATATCCAACCACCTGTAACTCATTGAGCCAGGACTCCCTACAGACTCCCTCACTTATATTACCTGACTATTGAGTGTGCTTTACTTTAGTAATAAATGTATAACTTTACATAAAGTAATCTCCTGTGTTCATATTTGTGGTTTAAATTCTTGCAAAATTGAAATTCAGAAATCTGTTATCTTGTGCCCCGTTATTATATATATTGATATAAGACATCATCAATAACAATCACACTACAGTATCAGTGCATCGCAGATCTGTTCAGGGAGTCAGCTGTAACTCTCGGGAGCCTCTGGCAAAGAGAAGGATGATGGCTTAACTACTGGCCAATCCTTCCCATACCTACATGTCTTATGTAGGTATGCCCACTCAGTTGTGCCCACCGACAACAGTTGGTTTTCAACAAATTTCTACAGGAAATGCTGGATTTTAAGTAAGGGATAATCAACGAGTAGTGTGGTTTGCACAGCAATCCACTTCATGTCAGGTGTTTCTTCGCTTTCACGTCGTGCCTTAAAACCATTTAACGCACACCTACAAGTTGATCATCCTGCTTATACCATGGTCATTTGCCAACAATATAAAATAAAAGCATTTGCAATTTTTTGGTTAAAGTTTTGCACTCAAAATCAAAAGGTTATAAAGCAAAAGCTTACAGTTGTCATGACAAGGAATAATTCTAGTCCCTTTTACATCCAAACAGTCATATATGCTTTTTATTTTTTTATATGCTGTTTAATGTTGATACCACGGCCTGTCGTGAGCTACTGCTTAATTAACACACACCTGTCGGCCAACCAGAAAAGAGTACTCACCCAGACCATGGAATAATGCAGATTAAGAGGTAGACTGAATATGTCATAGTAGCACCACAATGAAAATCTGCATGAAATAATAATACACCAAACAGACTTGCGTTTGCTGTTAACTTGTGTTTTAGTAACATAATGCATGGACATCATGTACAAGTGCCACACAGCTCAAATGGAATGTCCTTGAAAATTACAGGTCGCCACAAACTTGGCTAGCTTTCAAATGAATGCATCTGGACAGCAGTCAGTTGACATACTTGACTAGAGAATGTTCAGAGAAAAAATTCTTGAGCTCGCTAGCAACATGATAATAGCAGGTTGTGCTCCAAACTACAACCAAGAACTTTGGCCATATAAAAAGAAAGAAAGGCACAAACAAATTTAACATTAGCCTATACATACATATATATGCTTAACACAGGTATACTTCAACAAATAGCTATCGTGAGTCCTGAGAACAAGCCTTTCTCTTTAAGGCAGTGATCCGATTTCTGACATAATTTTTCACTCCAGTCCGGTTTCGGTCTTTGAGCGCATAGGGTTCTGCATTGATACACCGAATGCAGTCGATCTTTTGAGGTATGTGTGGATGAAGCGCATCATGTGTCTTTCAACTGCGCGTACCTCACTGTCTTCCCACTTACGTTTGGAGCTACCTCTGTTGTCTGTGAAGAAAAGATAGAGGTGTTGTCAATATCTCATTACTAAAAGCATTTTTTGCAGTCCATCCAAAACAGCATTCACAACCTCTGCTTTCTTTTAGTACTACTGTTCAAAGTGCAAGGACAACACCAAGATAAACTGATCAAGAATGGAAGACCATGAATGCTAGATGTCGCTACTAAGGTTTTTAATTATTCAAACACAATCCCAAATAGGCATCACAGTTAAATTTGTTTAAAGAAACAGGCTCCCTGCTCCACCGACATAAGCCGAAGAAAGTACTGCCTTTTTGGGAGCAGAGCTCAGGTCCTGACGATGTCATATACTGTATAGACATGAACAGAAAGAAAAATCTTCACGATATCGACCAATAGCTCTTAGAGGGTTACGCCTTTATTCATAGAATCTGGAGTTACAATACGTAACGTTTTAAGCACTTTTCAAAGTGTTACAGTGTTACTACTTAAACTTAAGATTCTTCTCCAAACTCACTTGTTAGCTGCATTTGTAAACACTTTTTAATCAGAGATTTTAGTATCAAACAACTTTTTAACAGAATTTTAACCTTTAGATTGAGGACAAATCATTTTAATGTCACTTTTGAGATCTTCAGCTGTACACAAATACACAAACTGATAAAAGTCACCTGTGGGTGCATAACTTTCCCATTAGTGACAAGAGTCATTAAATGTTATTATCTGCATGCACTTTAAGCTATGTTTAGTAAGGAGAGCATGTTCTAATGTGAATATGAAGTTCAGCCTTTGATCGTAACATAACGCTGCTCAACAGAGACTGCAGTGCAGATTCTGCCATAATGCCCTTCTTTAGGCTATCACTGGACACATTGCTGTCACTATGTAAAGACAAGTAATTAATCCTATTAATCCTAATCTATCATATTAGTAGGTATGGGTATCGTTAGGATTTTATCGATACCAATATCAGTAATACTTATCGACACCGATAGTTATCGATATTTTTATTGATATTACTCTCCATAATTTGGTACAACTATTTTATTAAAACTTTTTCAGAAATAAGTTAAATTGTTTCCTGAATTTCCTGTATATGAGAGATGAGCAATTGCTACATTGCTGTCTGTTTTGGCTGGTGTCATTTTCCCTCATCTTGTGATGGAGAATGGGTTGGACTTGGGGACTTCTGCTATCCACTGATGAATGGGATTATTTAGAAATATAAGTTCTTAAAACTGATGCTAACTACACTGACAGCTCACGGACAGACAAGTTGTCTGTTAGTGCAGTGGACAGACACATTTATGTTATAGGTAGGTAGCAAGACCGGCAGCGAAGCATGGTAAACAGTGGTAATGTCTGGGCGTGTTAGATTTATGGAGGGTCCCTCGCTTGTCCCCGACTCTGGCTGCTTAAAGTAGAGAGTGTGAGTTTAGGGAGCAGCGGCGCTGTTTCTCAATACCCATCCCTACATATTACTGATCAGTTATTAGTGATTAGTATGTTTTTAGTATGGCCATTTATCATTAAATACCCTCAGTCGAAAAAGGAAGCTCTGAATATGTGCCTTTATTTTTACCACAATTCAAAACCTTATCCACAGTGC